CCTACACCCCAATTTCTTACCCCAAGATCCTTTTTGTACCAAACCTCCACTTCAGACCCTTGCACTTCCTCCATTAATATTAAGGAAGAAAGAGGCCCTTGACTATTTACCAAATTCTTGGAGTGGCCTCCCATCAAAAATTATTGCCCACCCCTGTGCTAGGCAGAAAGAAAATTTCTTATATGTCCCTGTGGGCAAGTTAAAACTCTCCTTTACTTTGATGGGAGCAGAGTTAGGATAACGTAAGTGCTTCTGAAAATCTTATTTTGAAGTTCTACTGGAAGTCTATAAAATGGATGAATATCACAGATGGTAAATAAGGCTATGTCTACACAGCAGCATTATTTCAAAATAACTGAAGTTATTTCGAAATAACATAGTGCATAGCTACACTGCCAGACATTATTTCTAAAGCTGGAGGACTTCTTACTCCGACTCCTGTAACCCTCATTTTACAAGAAGTAAGGGAAGTTGAAAGAAGGGTGCTCTTCCTTTGAATTGTAGACTGTACCAAAAACCAAGTTAAGCTGTTTTGACTTCAGCTAAACAATTGATGTAGCTCAAGTTGCATAGCTTAATTCTACTTTAGCCCTGCTGTGTAGATGTAGTCTAAGGCTATGTCTACACTATCAGTTTTTACCAGAAGAAGCAATGCAAATGCACTGATTAGCATATTATCACGCTTTATTTGCATAATCTATTCCAAGCCGTTTTTGCACAAGGGGTTTTTGCGCAAAAACAAGCAATGTGCATGTTTCCTTTTTGCGCAAAAATGGCTCGGAATAGATTATGCAAATAAAGCGTGATAATATGCTAATCAGTGCATTTGCATTGCCTCTTCCCGCACAAGCCATAGTATAGACAAAGCCTCAGAGTATATACAGGATAAGAAATGAAGTTTCAGGGAAAACCTTGTTGATTAGAATCTATGTGATTTTAATCCACAAACACTGCAATTTGCATGTGTTTAACTATATATCATTTTTATTTTTATTTTTCTAGCAACACTAGGAGTGATCATTTTTGTTGTTAAAATGGTTTCCATTATGAAAATCTATTTTTAGACGCTTAGAACTAGAGTTGGTCAGAGAAACTATGATAGAATCATATTCCATTGAAATCAAAATGCTTTACATCAGTCCAGTTTCACCAGAATTTTTATTTGTGAGTTGTATTATAACATATAATGTAGTTTTTAAAAGTAAAAATTGAGACTTTCTATTCAACCTGAACCATTTTTTATTTTGGCCTTTTTCTTCTTAGAAAATTTCAAAATTCTGTTTCCCCTCCAGTTCGGAACAAAGCCATATTTCAAAATCTTGAAATTTTTCATGAAACAGAATTTCTTTCCATCCTCCTCACTGTTCTCTTTAAAACAGTTCTCCACCATACACTTTAAAGATGAAATTCACCAAGACTGCTCTCTTCTTAAAGATGATTCTTGAGGAGAAAAAAAAACTACTAGTTCTTTTAAAAGTACACAAGTGTGAGGAAAAATATGTTTGAGCAGGTGCCTTTTGCACAAGCTCTGACAGGTGAGAAGACAATACTTCAAGTTAGCCACATGCTTAAGTAGCTTCCTGAACTGGGAAGCTAAAGATCTTAACTCTGCCATTCTGCTTTCCCTTTTGTTGTAGGGGAAAGTAGAAGGTAAAAGTCAGCTTTAGATGCTTATTTTCTATGCCTCTTTTCCAGTTGTGTTAGGGCTTGTTTGCACAGAGACTGGCATCCACATAACTTAATTGATTTTCATTTACCCTGTTAGTTACTTGGGTGCAAATCTAACCCACTTATTTTGGGTTAATGGTGGTGTTAGATTTCTTTAAAACTTAAAACTTGTCATTTTTACAAAAACACTCCATTTCAAATGCAACACCCTATAGTGCAAAAGATAATGTTTTAACCACGCACAAATGACTCAACAGAACGGAGCAGTCACCCCGGAGCACTCGCAGGGAGCAGAATGTCGTTTCGTGTGTCCCCCTTCATAAACCCAGAGATACTGAAGTTGTTTCTTACGGGAAAAGTCCCTTGAAAGCGAGGATCCAAATTTGAGACTGTGTGTGTGGGGTGGGGAGAAGGTGTTTTATTGCTTGATCCCTTCCCGCTGTGCTGTGCGTCCAGTGGAACCGAGGTGCCCCCAAGCGGCCGTGGCTTTTCTTCTGCACTTCCCACCCACCCAGCAGCAGCAGCAGGAGCTCCGCGCTCGTGCCCTCCTGGCGGTGGGGCAGGATCCCTGGCCCGGGATGAGTCACGCGCTGCCCCGGCCGGGCTCGGCGGGACTGGGACTCGAGTGGATGCGGAGGAGCGGGGATGACGCGGAGTCTCCGTGAGTCAGGATGACGCAGGCCACGTGTCCGGGAGATTTAAAAGTTTGGGAAGGGACGGCGGGCTCCGCAGCCGCGCTCGTGCCCTCCTGGCGGTGGGGCAGGATCCCTGGCCCGGGATGAGTCACGCGCTGCCCCGGCCGGGCTCGGCGGGACTGGGACTCGAGTGGATGCGGAGGAGCGGGGATGACGCGGAGTCTCCGTGAGTCAGGATGACGCAGGCCACGTGTCCGGGAGATTTAAAAGTTTGGGAAGGGACGGCGGGCTCCGCAGCGTGGCGGCTCCGGCGTGGGAGTCGGGACCTCAGCAGCAGCAGCAGGTGGTGAGGTGGGGAAGGGCTTCGCGGCGCATACTCGGGGCCAGCCGGACCCTTCAGCAGGCGCCATGCTTGGGGACTCTGGCC